GTTGAGTGCCCAGCTCTGAATGACATGTCGGGTGGGCTGTTCTGCACAATGTAATCGCAGCAATGAATCCTGCAGTCTTTATATCCTACATGTCTGAGATCTTACCAGACTACAGCAAGCTGGAAGTTGAGTGGCTGGCAGCACACTGTGACAACCCATCAGCGTCAAGGTGGCGATTGCTGATGCCGAGAGAGACAGCGGTGACTTCTTCATGGGATCCATGGCTGCAGACGTACTGTGCAATCTAATCTAACATGCAGACATAGACACACGCACACACACACACCTCAGGTCGATGGCAGGATTCAGGACTCGTCACACCCGTTTCGGAGTTATTACATGTTTGTTCATGTACACACATAGACCCCCTGTCTGTAGAAAGTACGTAGCTCGCCTCTGGTAGCCGGCAGCAGTTTCAATGGAGACTTCGCATGATCGCAATGCCCATGGTGAATATGCACAATCATTGTAACTCACGGAATTGACCGTTGCTGTTCTTTTGCAGTCGGAGCAGCACAGATCACATCCCAAGTCACACGTGTGACACGAGGTAGCATCACGTCCACGTAGGTTTCAACCATCCTGCAATCTTTTTGGCAATCATGTACCTTGGCTCCATGATCGAGACATTATAATTGACAAATCAACTTACAAACAACCGAGAAGCTGCCGTTGAAGTGACCCTTGGTCACCCTTCACCCAAGTGATGGACACTCCGTCTTGCTTGTTAGCCTTGGATTGGCAGTTCCCCAAAACCACAGATCCAGAGCAACATGCATGAACCAATGCGAAGCTGCAAACATCACCATAAGACCCTGATTGCACCTGGTACTGCAGCTTGTGGAATTTATTCACAGCCTCGAGCGTTGTCTTATCCACACCATTGACCAGGAAGCTGCCACCCAGCCTGAGCATTGCCAAGCCAGAATTATAAACATCCGGAGTAGGGTCATTCGAACATACTTATAACTAGAGCAGAAGGAACAAACACCAAAGGCAGTGTAGATGGAAGCATGCAGACAGATCGGCCAACAATGCAGGCAGGGAGCAAGACATTGATGCTGGTGCGTGGAGAATTATACAGCTGCTTCACCTTCACGGACGGCTTCAGCGTGTAGCTCCTTGGCCAAGCACAACTGCCGAATCTGAGCTAGACTAGAGTCCTTGACACTACCTAGCACACACGATAAACATAATCAAAAGCCTGAGGGCGTGCAGTCGGCCAATCTTTCCGGGGGTGGCACCACAATCGAGCGGTCGATCTTGGCCAGCATTCTCAGGTCGTCCAGAATGGTCTCCTTCTTTTCCTGTGAATATATCATGATTGAGCATGAAGAAGCATTCGAAATTCATTCTGCAGTTGCATTACATAATGGAACCGTCCTCCACTTTCTGGCGGGTCAGTGGCATCTCATCCTTGCTTGTATACTTCTTCTTCCCAGTCTTCTTCTCGGCAACCTCTGGTGTCCATCCAGTGGAGATGCTCCCAGACTTGACCTGTTCGAGCAGGAAAGAGCACATAGATTTAAAATTAGGTAATCATGGATCACAAGAGGATAGCCTTGTCGAGCAAGCTTGAAATTGGCTCTCGAGCCTCCTCGGACTCCTCCTGAAGATCCTTGCTCCCTGAGGCCTTGGATGGCTCCTTGCACTTACTCCTTTTGCGCCGTCGCTTGGGCTCAGCCTCTTCTCGGCTCTCCTCTTCTAGTTTCTTTCGGGCCTCTTTCGCCTCGCGATTCGCGCTTCGCATGATCTCGCGAGCCCGGCTTCTCCGTAGAGGGGTCAGCCATGACAACGATGGCACATCCTCCTGGTCCTGCAGCGACCCCCTAAAACATATAATTGGTTTGATACAAGGATGCACCTGCGATGTCGACCCATATCCCCCATGAGCACATATCTTGCACTGATTATTGTCCTCCTGCGGTGCCGCTGCCTCACTCTCAGCATCTGAGAAGGCCAACCTTTTCTTGCAGTCGGGACTTCCAGCAGGCAGCGATCCTTCAGCTGTCCTGGACAGGCTCGCAAAATGGTCAAATTCAAATAATAACAAGTATATATATCTATTCCAGCCTCTTCTTCTTCTTCTTCCTGCTGCTCTCTTGCCTGATGTCATCCTTGGCCTTTGCATCTTCTTCTTCCAAGGCTACAGCTTCAGGATCCTTTTCACCCTCGCACTCATCCTCATCGCCCTCCTTTGCCTTGGCCTTGGCCTTGGCCTTTCCTTTTCCCTTTGCCTTTGCCTTTGCCTTTGCTTTTGCTTTTGCCTTTGTCTCTTTGGCAGCTTCCTTCTCGTTCCTGATATTCTCACGAAGCTTCCTTTGCGCCTGCCCGAAATTATCTCTCTCTCTCTCTCTCTCTCTCTCTCTCTCTCTCTCTCTCTCTCTCTCTCTCTCTCTCTCTCTCTCTCTCTCTCTCTCTCTCTCTGGCTTTGGCTTTCTCTCTCTCTCACTCATCACGAACATGACCTGGCCTGGAGCACATCATCAGCGGATCCTGATCCGGACAGATCCTTGCACAAAGCCTCCACCTGCCCGAGCATGCCCTCTGGCACCTTGGGCAACTCCTTGAACAAAGGCTTCTTGAGCTGCTCTTGGTCGTCATTGCCACCCTGACAAACAAAACAACACCAGAGGGATGCCATAAATACAAGTATGTATGTATTTCTGAACTGAATAGTTTGCTGCGTGAGTATGGCTGCAGACTCTGTGTAACATGACTAACCCACACTACAGAATAGTTTAAACATGTATCTACATAGAAACAAATACGAATCTAAGGTATGAGCTCAGGGATATGTGAGTGCAGTCCTCATTCGCTGCTTCCTGAGCAGCCTTCTCGGAAGTTGGGACGATCACCTTTCCAGGGCTGGGCTTCCCATCCTTCGTCATGGATTCCTCAGCAGCCTTCTTGGGAGATTTAGTTGGGACGATCACCATTCAAAGGCTGGGCTTCTCATCCTTCGTTGTGGCTTTCTCAGCAGCCTTCTCGGGAGATCTGGTTGGGACAAGCACCGGCTGCTTGGGGATCTCTTGGGCCTTCCTGCTGCTGGGTTTGGGCTTTACAATGTCCTCTTCCCATGCATCGTGCCCGGGTCTTGGGATATCCTCTGCCCCAAGATATAAATCCTCATCATCCTGTTCCACTGGGGGCATTGCGGGGGGCTGGTTGGGGATCTCCTGTTCCTTTCCTTTCCGGTGCTTGGGCCTTGGCAATAGCTTCCGCTGTCCACTCACTGGGGTCTCCTCTTCCCTTTCTGGTGTTCCGCCTTTTGATGAAAGAGCCTGCAACAACTCACAAAAACACACCCACAAACTAGTGCGGGCCAGCATCTCTGAATTGAACCTCCACACTTGTCAAGCTCGCACTTCGAGTAGGCCGGATGTGCCCAACCTGCCATTGAAATTTCAAGGACTCCAGGGTATTTAGTCATGTTGAATTGGATTTGCCGATAATGTCCCGGCCTTACGTAGTGAAGGCTTCACCCAAGGCTGCCCCTTCCAGGAGTACTAGAAATAATCAGTATATATATATATATATGTGCTCATTCAAGAAAAGCATGCTGTCCTCATCCACCGACTGGCCGCCTTCATGATGAGGATTGTCTTCCTGAAAAGCATAAGGGGCTGAAGGCTTCATGGGTATTACAAATAATTATTACAGGGTTTGGGTTCAGGGTATTTTTCATAGGGCCATAGAAGATAAAGAGGAGAGAATCGGAGAGAGAGAGAGAGAGAGAGAGAGAGAGAGAGAGAGAGAGAGAGTCACAGTCTCTTGACCCGTCCTCTTCGGAGGAGTCGGGCACACACACCGGCTGCTGATGCATCTGCACATAGATGACATCATCATCCTCATCAGATTCTTCCTTCTCTTTCTCACTCTCTTTCGAAGCTTTCGAAGGCTCCTGACAAGGTCGCATCGGAATCAAGTGCAATGTACAGGTCCACATGGAATGGAGTCCTTGGAGCCCCTGAGCTCGTTGACAATCTGCTTCAGGTTCGCCATTTTCTCATGCCCCGACCTGGTCAGCAGAACCAATCATGTACCCTGAGAAACTGCAACCTCGCCTTGTACCTTTGTTGGACCTGGCACGTCGTACCACATACGATGCCATTGCTCTGTGCAGGTTTCCTTCTGTCAGAGCCCAAGCCTGGCACAGGGGCCAGTGCATAACCAATATAAACCATGAGGCAAGAGTTGCGCCTCCAAGTCACGGACTGACATCTTCTGAGATACTATCTTGTTCGGCTTGGCAACAGAAACCAATGCAGCCTGCAGGCTTCAGAAACAATCGGGTTCATTGTTCAATGACATGATGAGCAGCCTGGGTCTCCTTCGCTGTCGGCAGGCAGGCCCCAACCAAGGCCACAAAATTGATTAAGAACTCATAGTTGATATCCTGCTCGACCTGATCAGGTATAACGGGGCTTCGAAATGGTGTGATTGATCAGTATATGGCCTCCAGCTCATTCACAGCATTCCCAGCCAAGCTCACAAAAGAGAAGTTCACGGGAACCTGCAAACAGATGAGCCGAAACTCCAGATTGCAAAGCCCTGGCTGAAATCCTACCTTCGATCGCTTCAAGCATCTTTCCAACTTGCGAGGGCCGATGCCCGATTCTTGGGCGATTTGTCGCAATCGCCCATCCACATAATCTTGGCTTCCGAGCAGGGCGGAATAGAATTCCTGTGAGGGTGGGATGCGGGTGTTTTCAGATTTTGGTGTAGGGTTGGGCGCCGGGACTCAGGGACCATCATTTAACTGACTGGCCTTCAAGATCAAAACCGTTTCCTCATTCGGCTTCGAACTTGGCATGGCGACCCAGCTGCAGGAAAAGCAAGACCCCAATTATAATAACCCAAGCTTCGACAGCCTAGCACCTAACACAACAGCCAGAAGCTGCCCTACCTAGCCCTAGCTCGGCTCGATATCCAAACTTATACCTAACTTGTATGATATACGAGCTTTGCTGGACCCGGAAGACTTGGAGACGGTTCCCATGGCCTTCAAGCAGTCGGCAGGGCTGTTCTTTGAGTGGCAGTCGTGTGCTTGATCTAGTAGTGGGCCTAGTGGGGGACCCGCTCCTGCAAGCAGGTGTTGCGCGTGCCGTCCAAGACCTCGAATGCTTATGAGAAGAATCCCCTCCCCGCAGAGCTGGACCTCACGGAAGAAGTGCCTCTGAGTCATTTTTCAAGGGCTCCTTGCGTCTGTCGTGAGCTCCTCCATCAAGCATCGGCGGGTCGGCTCATCGACCTGTCCCCAAACGGCCTGGACTTTGCTTTGCAAGCGATTCACATGCGTATCTTCACCATCCTGGTGTGCCGAACTGATGAGCATGCAACGGCTGCTTGTCTCAGGAATTACGAGGGGGAGTTGATGCATGGATCAGTTTTCTGTTGCAGGGTCGGTGTCTGTTATCAATGCAGCAGGTTCTGAAGGAGAAGCTCCAGAGCATGGTTGCTCGAATGATGGACGATCCTGGCAATGAAAGGTTCTTCGTCAGCAATGCCACTCTCGGCATTGAGGCGGAGGAGGATTCGCAGCCTGATGAAGGCAACGGCAATGGTGCAGATGAGAATGAGGAGGCCGCCGCAGGGCACGATGGCGATGACGGCGAGAATGCAGGAGAACGCTCGCCTGGCCTGGTGTCTGTAGCCGGATGATCGACGGGATTTCCGTTGCGGTGCTGGCCGTGATTTTAATTTTGGCATGATGGTGCTGTATGGACCCATGATGGCCAGTCTCTGTCTTAGCAGTTGGGCCACTGAAGAGGGCAGCCAGTCAGACACTCTAGCTGAGACTCTAGCTCACTTTTTCCGGGTCTTGATGATATTGACCAAAGCTTAAGACACAATCGATGCGTTGAAGGTGGCTGGCTGACGTTACATTTTCTCTTCTGGTCGCAGAGGACCGCAGTGAAGCGACGGACCAGTGGGGCGACAAAAGAAGAGGTAGTGAGCAAGCGTTGAGTGTGCAGCTCGTTGGAGTAGGAGCTCGGCCGTGCATCCGAATGTGATTCCTTTGACTGTAACTGCATTACCGTGCCTCCCAGGTCCATCGACGTTGATGGCTGATCTCCGGCCGGGTGCTTGGCTGTGAACAGTACTGAGCACTGGATGATGCTGACGAGCAAGATTGACCCACTGAACCACGTAACATGATGATGCTTTAGCAGACAGGGTCAACTCGGATAGGGAGATTTGAGCGTTGGCCGCAGGAGGCGACCTTTTGCCGGCCGGTCACGACTCGAAGGCTGGCATCTCTCTCATTTGCGTGCTGGCAGCCCGACATTTGAATCACGTTATTGCTTATCAGCAACAAGACCGTTGTTTGAGCGAAGTCTGCCTTGCAGGCATTTTGCCCGATAGGTTACCGGTATGCGTGCGGCATGGATAGCTTGATATGAACCTGCTATTCTCATTCGTTGTCTGAGAGTTTGGACAAGATAAGTCAGTGAAGCATAAGCTCTATCATATCGCGAGAGGCTTCATAGGCCATGCCGGAATTCTTTGGCGGGAGCAGTGGCTCGAGTGCGGCGCCTGCTGAGGGCACGCGGCCTGCTGCTAAAAAGCGGTCAGCCAAGACGGCTGTCGGTGAAGCTGAGGAGGGGTGCGCATGAAAGATCAGATTATTGGCAAGGGCTTGGGGTCTGGGGACGTTCCCCAAATCAAGGTCCAGAATGATGGATCAGCTCTTCTTGAGCAGCGAGTTCTTGCTCTTGGGGTTTGTTGTGTTCGTGGGCAGGGAACATATTATTCAGGATGAGGTATGGAATTAACAAAATAAACATTGTTACGAGTGAAGCATTGTTTGGGTCTGCCGGCCTTTATAATTATGCAAGGTCCTCACTCTATTGCAAAGTTGCTTTGTCGGTTGCCGGTCATTTCTTGGGTTTAAGCCAATGACAATGCCAAACAGCCACGAGTTGCCGGGTTCCCCTCGCATGGTTTCGACCGTTTCAGGTTTTGAGCCCCCATACAAGTCCAACCCATTGTGTAAGAGTTACGGGTGTCAGCCAAATTTTTCTTTACATTCCGATGCCCCGAGGATGTGGAGTGCCAGAGGCGGCCACGTGTAGTGGGCTCGTGTGCAGCCGTGGGCAATGCGTGGGCGAATTTGACTCGCGGAGAGTGCGGATTGCCAGAGCCACGCGAAGCTGAACATGCAAGGGCTTGCCAGCAGAAGCACGGCTCTGTTCCCTGGCAGGGGTCTTTTGCTACGAAGTCGTTCAATAGTATGAGGGTCGCTTCGTCGAAGTTGTTGTTGGGATGATGGGGTGCTGAGGTGCAGGCGGCCCTTGCAGCATGCAACCACTGTAGGTGGTTGAAGCACAAGAAAGAGTGGCGCTCGCGGTGCATTTACACGTTGGGCGATGGCTCGACAATGAGCTGGCTACAAGAGAATGAGCATGCTCGGGCATTTGGTTTATATTGCTCGGCTTGCAGGGCTCACAACCCGCGAGGCACATCACCATATATTGTGGGATCCAAGGGAGCAGTGCAGCCGCTTGTCAGAATGACTGTCTAGGAAATAGGCTTCTGAACTTCTGAACGAACATTCGGGTTGTTTCCGGATGCTGTAGCAGAGGCCGGGCAAGCGAGCCACTTTACAGATCTGTGACCTTGTTGATCATGCCACTACCCCTGGCCACTGTGCTGCTGTGCAAGCATTGGTCGGGGGCAAGCAGGAGGAGGAGACAAAGAACGAGGCCGCCCTAGGCCTCCCGACTTTGGCTCAGTTCAAACTGAGCAGAGAGGTGGCTGGAAGAGAAACTTGGGAGCATTGTCAATGTTTGTATTTTGTAGTCGAGCTGACCAAGATTCCGCAGGGTTTTGTTAGTTTTGATGTAGACCGCATTGGGCATATGTCTAGGTACCAGCGCAGATGCCGGCTTGCAGGAAGGTCTGACGAGGCGAATTTCCCTGCGCAGCGAGCAAGTGCACAGCAACACTTTCAGAATATCAAGGCCATGGCAAGCCAAGCCTTTATAGACGACCAGGAATTGCTCAAGAGCGTGATCGCGATTGGCTGGGCGGAGGATGATTGTCAAGGGTTCAAAATCATTCGTATCAGAATGGTCACGAAAGACCTTCAAGTTGTAACGCGACTGTTCGACTTGAGCCGTTCAGCTCACAAGAAGGCGGTCCAGAAAGTCGAGCACGCGAAGGCAGCCATACATCAGGTTTTTCCCGAGCCGGAGCTGGAGAAGCGCTTCTGCAACTTGGTGAAGGCAGGATTATGTCGGCTTTGCGTGAGGATTCGGATAATAGTCTGCCAGCCGTGTTCCGGCATCCCTGGTATCAGGTGTTCACCACTGACGGTGAACCAGCCGAGCTGGCCGCAGCGGCCATATCGCACCCGACCATTTTCCCGCAATTGCGGGCAGTGTGGAGGTGCTTGTTGCACTCTGCGCAACGCTCTCAAGAGAATGCGATCAAGTCGTGCGACCGCGCGGCGCACCTCATGAGCGAGCTGATCAACAGGTTCAGTGATTCCAGTGGTGCCGGAGGTCTTGCCCGAGCACTCCACAATTCACCGTTGCTTCGGTCCAAGTTTCAGGCCGTCGAGGCACGCGACCTCGACGCATTGGGGACCCTCGCGAGCCCCGGCAGCTTTGGCAGACCATTGCTAGTAGAATACATAATTAATAATAATAATAAGTGCTTTTCGTGCAGTACCTGTAAGGCAAGCGTCGAGGTCGTTAACCTTTGCCCAACAGCGCTTTACAACAATAACGGAGGCCTTCCGGCTGGTGACCCTGCGTTGCAACACGGTTATATCTTTCCTGAGCGAGCTTCGCGCTGCGAGAGGCGCCCATGCTGCCTGGGCGGCAAGATTGTTAGACGAGGTTCCTCGGCGAAACGTTTAAAGTTTGGCAAACTGCAAATATAAGGAGCTTACATAGTCTATGGTACATTTATCTATAGAGAGAGAGAGAGAGAGAGAGTGTGTGTGTGTCCATTCACATATAATTGTATATTATATACCAGTCCATGGGCCTAGACCTTGTCAACCGACAACCTCATTCTCTGCGCCTTGCTTTCCGAATGGTCGTCGACTACCAGTGCGTTCATCCATTCGTGGGACAACAGCGGCAGAGACCGGGGAGGGCGTGCAAAGGCGGCCCGGAATGAGGTGTCTCAGATCGCTTTCATGTCGCGCGGCGTGCGGTTGCTCAAGCAGGACGGGTTCATTGTACTGGTGCTGTTGAATAATTCCTATGCTGTGCGACGCAGGAACTTGCGAAGCTCTTTGAGTTCAGTGGCCCGAACAGCTCCACCCCGCCCTTGGTGTTGGACTTGGAGCGCTACAGTTCTGGCTTCGTGGCCCTGCTACAGAAAGCTCTGGTGAAGCGTGCCTTGTTTGCTTATCCTTGCTACGATGATGTTAAGTTGTGTGGTTCGGGCTTTGTGGGAGTATAACGGCAGCTGCTACCTCGTCGGCAGGAGACCCAACAGGCAGCTGTGCCATCGTGGGTGACGGGGAGCTGCTCTTCCATCGCGCAGGTGCACATGATCGGTGTTGTGCGGAGCATTGTCTAGCATGACTTCGAACCTTTACTTTTCTTTTGAACAGGACTTTCCGCTCGCGAGTTCAAACAAGCAGTGGTCAAACAGCTTGGGTGCATTCGCAATTTGACCGACGTCTTTCTTCGATCCATCGCCGCGGAACACCAAGCCGGGATCGGCGAATGCTTTGGTGCACTGGATATAGAGAAGGGCGCGGCAGCCAGGCATCAGCAATTTCTCGTTCAATATGCTTGTGACCAGGGAGAAGACTCTTTCATTTGTCTGCGGTGCGGAGGCCTGCTCTGCTTGAACCCCTCGCGAAACTACTCGGATCTTCTGCCGCGACCTGAGTGCATTACGCTTCAGCGGGTCAGTAAAGACGATAATGCCTCTGTCAAGGGCAGCGAGCTCGCCAAAGAGATCAATGCTGTGCGGCCGACGTGCGAGCAGCTCATACAGCTTCAGCCTGAGCATCCCAGACCGTCTAACGGTTGGATAGCAGTAGCATGAGTCCCAGATCTTGATCCTGTGTGTTGAAAATTCCGTAATGACGAGTTTTGGTTTTTGGAATGCATCGTCTGCTTCCTCCTATATTAATACTCTTACAGATAGGATGGTGAGAAGTCAAATGCATCAGATCTTTGTAGATTATGCAGATGTTGGTAAGGTCGGGCATTTCATCTCCTCTGGAGTATTGGGCGGAAGCCTTGAAACACTGGGGAAAACGAGTGCCAGTGCTTCGCGAGGCTGTTCTGACCTCGGTTAGAGATTGCGAGATGTATCGACATGGGTTTGGCCAATCATTCTATATTGATCGATCTGTCTTCCGAGGTCGTTGTGATGCTCTGCATGTTCGAGGGGACGGGGCTGTTGGAGCAGAACTTATCATCATTCAGAGCAATGCACCATGACCAGAAGCGCAACACGTCCCCGGACACCCTTCGTTGCCTTCTGAAGGTGATGGTTGATTGTGACCCCGTGGTGACATTCAACATCTTGACAAAGGAGTATAAGCTCACTGATTTTGGGATTCGCGCTTACAACAGGTACCGCTCCTTGTTCGGTGCAGCCAGAAATGCGCCAGCCTCCTTGTTGCCCCGTAGGACTATGAACCGTCGATGTTCTTCGACGGGACTTGCAGCTTTGAAACGCCTGCAAGCGCAACAGAAGGCAGACGCCGTCCCCAAGGAGTTGCCGCTGGAGGAAGCGAAATCCTTGAAGCGTGCCCTGGACACGTCTGCTGAGGAACATTCCACGAAGCGGCAGAAGAAGATGGTGGTTGCTTTGGCAGAGCGAGTGACCGCCAAATTGGCCTTGGTTTCGCCGGCCACTTTTGCGAAGGATGCACGTGAGCGCTTACAGAAGCTGCAGCTTCAGGATGAAGAGGAGTTCAAGAAATTGGACGGCATGCAGTTGCGGGAGCTGAAAACGGCTGAGATTCTTGGGGATGCACAGAATGGCCTGGCCGTTTGCATTATCAGCAAGAATGAGATTCCCAATGCAGACAAGATCGTCAAAGACAAGGCAAAGGCGTTGTCTCAGCTTTGTGGGCTGCGTGTTTGTCATTTGACAAGCAGCAGTCTAGTGGCAAGGTGTTTGCGGGCAAAGTTTGTTATTTTTCTTGCAACCTCGAAGGAGGCAGAGGCAGGCTTGATTTATCATGGCAGTGAAAGTCATCAAGGTCTCGATCTCGGGGCTTGCGTCAGCCGGCTGGTGGGAGGATTCGTAGCGGGGCCGGCTTGGATGGCAGAGTGCCTTCGTCGTGGACAGCTTTTGACTCCCTTGCTTCGTTTGAGCCCGGCTGCAAAAATTCAAAGGCAGGGGTGGGATTCTGTGACAGTTTGCCACAACAAGTTGCAATTCTCAAGCTACTTTCTGCTATTGAGAGCGATGAACTGGGATTTCGGCACTGGATCATTCGATCCAGCAGAGAAGCGCTGACACTAGCTACGACTTTATTCATATGTTAATGACCTTCCGTGGCTTTGTAAACCCTAAGCCTAGGACCTGTAAACTTATGCACTCTATCCGAATCAAGGTCCCGAAAAGCTTCTTGGTGGGTGGTGGGAGATTCGTATAAGCCCGCTGCTGGTGATGAAAAACTTCCTGGAAAGATCATCTCGTACAAGCAGTTCCTCCATCTGATCACGACGCATCTTTGTCATAATTGCTTTGGAGCTGTTACTTGTGTGGTGCGAGTTTCCGGTTCTCGATGATGGTTCGTGGCAATGCAACTTAGGTGGGGATGAGTGGCAGTCTGTGCTTTGCTGCGCTGGCCCGGTTGATGTGCAACATAGTCATAAACAAATATGCTACACGTAGAATGAACTGTCCGGGTCAGTGCTGCTGAAAAGATCCGGAATGCTTGGGGCTTGGCCTCGCGGTTCGAAAAGAAACACGGCGAGCTGTTTGCGTGCTGCTTGAGTTAAGTGCATGGAAAATCCGCCCAGCCGAATTTTAAATAGCTATCATTTCGGAAAGATCTTGCTTGCAGGCAGACGAGCGCCGCGCTGGAATCTTGAGCATATTTGCAGATGGAAAAAAGATTGGCTCTCTTTCCGTGCAAGCCTCTCTTGAAGATGAGCCTGTTATACTTTTGAAGATGATCCTGCTGAGCATATATTCAGACCCCCAGGCCCCGGCAAGGAAAAAGGGCACCCTTATCAGGGAGAGCCCACTCAAGAACCAAGTTGAAGAAGGTTGACTGGATTTCGCGGCTCCTTTTCTGGGGCCGCGAGACGGCCCCATTTTTGGGGTCGCAAGTTTGATTCCTGCACCCACAGCGGCTGAATCTCGTCAGCTGCGCATGTCATTGATTGTATTGACTTTGGGGAGCGTCTGGTGGAGGACCGTTTGGAAGGTCGGAACTTGTCCAAAGCAGCTGTGTTGCTCGCCCTTAATAGTGCTGCAGCCAGCGGAATGCAACTGTGGAGGGCCGACCTCGCGAAGCCAGAATTGCTTGTGTTTTGCGGGCCTTAAAATGGGGTCGCCCGACAGCCCCATAACTGTGCAGCTTTGAGATCGTACAAAGACAGGGAATTTTTGCCAGAGGTGACTCTAGCATTTCTGAACAGAGCAGATCAAGCCATGCAGAGTTATGGTATCGAGAAGGTGGGCCGGAACAGATCATACAAGAGCGGCGGAATTTTCTGGAAGGTATCTCCACCAGATCTGAACAGGACTTCTTGAGCTGTGTAGAGTTATGGTATCGAGAGGTGTGGCTGACGGTTCGGAATTTGTGCACGGTGCTTAACTCCAAAACCCCTCATGCACGACATGGGCTCACCTGGCTCTCGCCAGATTTTTTTTGCTCTTTTAGCAGAGACCCATTTGCAACATTCTTTGCCTCTGCCTTGCTTCTGATTGCATTTGCTGTTGCTAGACCAGTGGTTGCGTTCCCTCAAAAGACCGAACTGCACTTTTCGCTGTTCTCGGGATTGCACCTCTGCTTCAATTTCTTTTTGCTCTCTGAGTCAGTTCCATCGTCAAATCGAGTCTTTTTTTGCTTCATGGTTGCGTGTGTCTTTGCGCAGGATGGTTGCATCCGCTGTCACAAACCGACAAAAAAAAGATCGCTCGCAGCAGGCGCTCCAACCGACTTTGTTGCTCAGCAAATCCACATCTCTGCGCAACACAGACCCGTGCCGCTGCCGCCCCCGCAACACAGGTTTTTTCGGTCTGCCTCAAATGGAAGAACTGCTTTTAAATCAGGTCAGTGACCGCACTCGTTTTGTCTCGTTTCGTTTTGCTTCGAATGTTTTTAGCTCAAGAAAAAGATCGAGTGCTGCGCACTCTGTTTTTCTTGTTAGTGGACTTCTGAGAGCTGTGAAGCGCCACGGCCTCGCCTGTGCAAGGTTGGAGTTGAGAGTTCTCCCAGAAGGTACCTGTGCCTGAGAAAGCATCGACTTTGACCTGTTTGGACCAGATCCTGTTTGTCCCATGAGTCCGCCTGCAGCTCAAAGGTGGAAGTGTTCTGGCTGCTGTGTCTGGAACGTGTTGGGCCACCAGTGCCGCCGACGTCGGACCAACTGCAGCACACGCGGCTCCAAATGTGGGGTCGAACAAGCTTAGCAATTTTGGCTTCGCTTGAGTGGCCCCCCTCTGTTCTCTCATGTCTGTCACTTCCACAGGCAAGCTGTCTGTTGGAAATTCTTGTTGGAGAACGATTTTTCCACACTGGACGCCTGCCTAGTCGCCTTGATGTAGCAGTGTGGAACGCACGGGCTTGGGCTTGGGCCCCAAAATGAGGAATTCGCGACCCCAAAATAGGGGCCGCCAAGCGGCCCCGATTTTGGGGTCCTCTGGTTGCCAGTCAAAATATGTTGAAGGAGGTTGACTGGATTTCGCGGCTCCTTTTCTGGGGCCGCGAGACGGCCCCATTTTTGGGGTCGCAAGTTTGATTCCTGCACCCACAGCGGCTGAATCTCGTCAGCTGCGCATGTCATTGATTGTATTGACTTTGGGGAGCGTCTGGTGGAGGACCGTTTGGAAGGTCGGAACTTGTCCAAAGCAGCTGTGTTGCTCGCCCTTAATAGTGCTGCAGCCAGCGGAATGCAACTGTGGAGGGCCGACCTCGCGAAGCCAGAATTGCTTGTGTTTTGCGGGCCTTAAAATGGGGTCGCCCGACAGCCCCATAACTGTGCAGCTTTGAGATCGTACAAAGACAGAGAATTTTTGCCAGAGGTGACTCTAGCATTTCTGAACAGAGCAGATCAAGCCATGCAGAGTTATGGTATCGAGAAGGTGGGCCGGAACAGATCATACAAGAGCGGCGGAATTTTCTGGAAGGTATCTCCACCAGATCTGAACAGGACTTCTTGAGCTGTGTAGAGTTATGGTATCGAGAGGTGTGGCTGACGGTTCGGAATTTGTGCACGGTGCTTAACTCCAAAACCCCTCATGCACGACATGGGCTCACCTGGCTCTCGCCAGATTTTTTTTGCTCTTTTAGCAGAGACCCATTTGCAACATTCTTTGCCTCTGCCTTGCTTCTGATTGCATTTGCTGTTGCTAGACCAGTGGTTGCGTTCCCTCAAAAGACCAAACTGCACTTTTCGCTGTTCTCGGAGATTGCACCTCTGCTTCAATTTCTTTTTGCTCTCTGAGTCAGTTCCATCGTCAAATCGGTCTTTTTTGCTTCATGGTTGCGTGTGTCTTTGCGCAGGATGGTTGCATCCGCTGTCACAAACCGACAAAAAAAAGATCGCTCGCAGCAGGCGCTCCAACCGACTTTGTTGCTCAGCAAATCCACATCTCTGCGCAACACAGACCCGTGCCGCTGCCGCCCCCGCAACACAGGTTTTTCGGTCTGCCTCAAATGGAAGAACTGCTTTTGAATCAGGTTAGTGACCGCACTCGTTTTGTCTCGTTTCGTTTTGCTTCGAATGTTTTTAGCTCAAGAAAAAGATCGAGTGCTGCGCACTCTGTTTTTCTTGTTAGTGGACTTCTGAGAGCTGTGAAGCGCCACGGCCTCGCCTGTGCAAGGTTCGAGTTGAGAGTTCTCCTAGAAGGTACCTGTGCCTGAGAAAGCATCGACATTGACTTGTTTGGACCAGATCCTGTTTGTCCCATGAGTCCGCCTGCAGCTCAAAGGTGGAAGTGTTCTGGCTGCTGTGTCTGGAACGTGTTCGGCCACCAGTGCCGCCGACGTCCACTTTCGGTGCGAACCAACTGCAGCACACGCGGCTCCAAATGTGGGGTCGAACAAGCTTAGCAATTTTGGCTTCGCTTGAGTGGCCCCCCTCTGTTCTCTCATGTCTGTCACTTCCACGGGCAAGCTGTCTGTTGGAAATTCTTGTTGGAGAACGATTTTTCCACACTGGATGCCTGCCTGTGGGCGAGTCGCCTTGATGTAGCAGTGTGGAACGCACGGGCTTGGGCTTGGGCCCCAAAATGAGGAATTCGCGACCCCAAAATAGGGGCCGCCAAGCGGCCCCGATTTTGGGGTCCTCTGGTTGCCAGTCTTGACTGGTTGGCGTTGACTGGATTTCGCGGCTCCTTTTCTGGGGCCGCGAGACGGCCCCATTTTTGGGGTCGCAAGTTTGATTCCTGCACCCACAGCGGCTGAATCTCGTCAGCTGCGCATGTCATTGATTGTATTGACTTTGGGGAGCGTCTGGTGGAGGACCGTTTGGAAGGTCGGAACTTGTCCAAAGCAGCTGTGTTGCTCGCCCTTAATAGTGCTGCAGCCAGCGGAATGCAACTGTGGAGGGCCGACCTCGCGAAGCCAGAATTGCTTGTGTTTTGCGGGCCTTAAAATGGGGTCGCCCGACAGCCCCATAACTGTGCAGCTTTGAGATCGTACAAAGACAGAGAATTTTTGCCAGAGGTGACTCTAGCATTTCTGAACAGAGCAGATCAAGCCATGCAGAGTTATGGTATCGAGAAGGTGGGCCGGAACAGATCATACAAGAGCGGCGGAATTTTCTGGAAGGTATCTCCACCAGATCTGAACAGGACTTCTTGAGCTGTGTAGAGTTATGGTATCGAGAGGTGTGGCTGACGGTTCGGAATTTGTGCACGGTGCTTAACTCCAAAACCCCTCATGCACGACATGGGCTCACCTGGCTCTCGCCAGATTTTTTTTGCTCTTTTAGCAGAGACCCATTTGCAACATTCTTTGCCTCTGCCTTGCTTCTGATTGCATTTGCTGTTGCTAGACCAGTGGTTGCGTTCCCTCAAAAGACCGAACTGCACTTTTCGCTGTTCTCGGAGATTGCACCTCTGCTTCAATTTCTTTTTGCTCTCTGAGTCAGTTCCATCGTCAAATCGGGTCTTTTTTGCTTCATGGTTGCGTGTGTCTTTGCGCAGGATGGTTGCATCCGCTGTCACAAACCGACAAAAAAAAGATCGCTCGCAGCAGGCGCTCCAACCGACTTTGTTGCTCAGCAAATCCACATCTCTGCGCAACACAGACCCGTGCCGCTGCCGCCCCCGCAACA